ATCATGAAGTGCGAAACTTCGCACCTTTGGACGCGAAACTTGCAGGGAACGCGAAATGAACTGTCGTAGGAAATTTCGTGAGATCGGGTCATGGCGTACGTGCACTTGGCCCGCGCAAACTACGAAAATGTGCAGAACGCAAAGTTCGTGCAAAAATTCGCACACACTTTCGCAAGGACTGTCGCGAAACTTCGTTCGAATTTTCGTTTTGCAGAACCTCTCTACTAAACCTTTCTTTAGCAACATGACGGCAACTGAAACAGCAACAGAGAAAGTACGATACATGTACTCCACATTCTTACAGGTACTACAAACAGATTGCAGATCGTAATTCTTGCTTTGGTGGCACGAAACTTTATTTGGGGCAGTGCAATCTCGGTGGTACTCACAAATCAAACAGCCCAGACTTGAGTAAACAAATCCAATCATACAAGTACGAGATTTTCACGAGACGAGACTGCACCCATTGGCTTGTTTCGTATGAAACAAACAAGTTACTGAACCTCTCCACAATAGAGATTTCCCCTGATATGCGAAATTATTCTGCAAACTCGGTCAATTGGTACTTGAACCTTTCCCACCAGATTGGGAACTGCCAACGATAGTATGCCACTGACCAGGGCCTTACTTGTAACGTACCAATGTACAATGAATATGAGTATTTCGACAACACATCTAACATAAGCCTTACCGTCAAGAAGTTGAACTCGCGTTCTTCGCACACTGTAGACAAGGGCAAAGGGATAAAAATGGATCTAAATCCGAATAAAATCAGCACACGTTTCCGTAAATGAAAGGTGAACATAAGCAAATGAATCGAAGGAAACCGGTCAACTTAGAGATCACCTGTCATCGAGTATTCCGTAAAAGGAGGCCTCGCAGCTCGGCAGCAGAAAAGCAAAATTTAGAAAAGAGATCCTGTCAACTTTTCCATTATTTATTGCATTCCGCCCCAAAATCAGCACACTTTTTCTGAATGAAAGAGTCAACACAAGCAAATGAATCAAAGGCAACTGGTCAACTCACCTGTCATTGAGTAATATTCCGCGAAAGGAGGTCTCAGCAGCGCCGAAACGAAATAAGCCAGGCCATGAGACGAAATATCCGAAACAGCTCATGCAAGAAGCAGTTCCAAAGAAGGAAGTTCCTCGCGCATGCACATCCGAACACGGATCCGCGGACTGCATGCACTACGCGCACTGAACATAATGTCTGCCGTGCAGTGCACAGCACACGGCTACCAAGCGTTGGTAGATCTAATACCGAGCACCTTACGTAGAGACTTACGTAGCCTAAGTGAAATACCGAGCACCTTACGTAGAAACTTACGTAGCATAGCGATGTCGTTTTTTCTGCCATGTGAACACAATAATAGAAAAGCTGACAGGATCGCTTTTCTAAATACTGCCAGGGCATCCCCTCAAACGTCAGCACGAAAGCTAAGTATCGCTCACCTTAATGTATGTAGCCTGTATAATAAATTACATGAAATTGAAGCACTCATGCATGCTCACGATTTAGACATATTAACGTTAACGGAAACGTGGCTATCCGACAGTGTACCTGACATATGTATTACAGTACCTGGATACACCATGCATAGACTTGATCGGAACTCAAAGAGAGGAGGTGGTGTCAGTATATACGTGAGAGAATGCTTCGGTAATCGAGCACTACATCACTCCTCTCCCATTGAAGCCCTTGCAGTACACGTGAACATTCACCCCCAGCCTCTCACTATCCTCTGTGCATATAGAGCTCCAACAGTACCTGTAGCATTTTGGCAAACCTTATCTAGCCTAACTGATGACATACTGGATTGTACACCGGCCTCCTCTGCGTGCATAATTCTAGGCGATTTCAATGTCAATGTCCAGGACCCTAGTCACGCACATTACCCTCACCTACGAACATTCTGCCATGATTTTGATCTCCGAAACGTTGTCACGTCACCAACTAGATTCCCTAGTGCAACAACCATAGACCTAGCACTGATCTCAAGCTCTTCCTCCACCACGTCTACTGCGAGACCAGGCAGGGATGAACTGATTTACAAAGACTGCAATGTTATTCCATGTGATATTTCCGATCACCAACTTGTTTGTGTGAACTACAATATCCATGCTACCACCAGCACGCTCAAGACAAACAGACAGGTACAAGTACGAAAGCCACCGCTGCGTACGTTGAAGATTAAGCAATTCCAAGAGACAGCTGCTAAACATATGTCTACTCTCCACCAGCAGATCACATGCAGTTCATCACAGATGTCTCTAGATAGTTATACTGAACACTGGCAGGATGCAGTCAGTGATGCATTGAATGAGTACTGCCCACTAAAGACTGTTAACGCCAAGAAGAGCTATACTCCATCGCCTTGGGTAGACGATGAGCTCCGGCAGACTTTATTCAAGCGTAAACGAGCACACCGTGCAATGATAAAACGTCCTGATCGCTCAGACCTGCTGCAACAATTCCGAACTCTACGAAGACAATGTAAACTTTTAACTAGGAAGAAACGGTCTACATACTTCCAGCAACAACTAATCAATCATCGAAACCACCCAAGAGAGCAATGGAGTGTCATGAACAATCTACTGGGTAGAATTAAAATCAACCAGGAACCTGCTGCCGAAGTAGCCGACATCACAAAGACATTTACAGACGTTGTCAACGATACATCACTTTCTGGCAGTACACTACGCACTCCTAATGGCCCTGTATCGGAATACTCCCTGACACAGTTCACACCAGTCACTGTTCCACAAGTCCAACTCCATATCCAGAGAATGAACAGTCGTAAAGCCACAGGACCTGATAACATCCCCGCCCAGGCCTACAAGCTCATCAAAGATGAGATCGCCCCATCTTTAGCCAAACTATTTACCAAGTCTCTTATATACGTCTGGAGATTTTCCATCGACATACAAACTAGCAAACGTGCGGCCTATCTACAAGCGTGGAGATAAGTCAGTCCCATCCAACTATAGACCAATATCACTCCTGTCCCACATGTCTAAGCTACTGGAACATATTGTACACGACCAACTAATGTACTATATCTACATGTATAATGCACCACCACCACTGTTACCCCTACCTGCTGAGCAATTTGCCTACCGCAGAGGCCACTCCTGCGAGGACTTGCTCACTCCCGTGATCAACGACTGGATGCTCTCCTTGGACAATGGTGATTATGTCGTAGCTGCCTTTCTAGACATGTCTAAGGCATTCGACACAGTTAGTCATGAAGTTCTACTGAGTGAACTTCTGGAAATCGGTGTCGGTGGTACTGCCTTGCAGTGGTTCTGTAGCTACCTTACCCACAGGAAGCAACGTGTGGTCACCAAGACACAGCAAGGCCTTACATATAGCAGCAACAGGGGGGTTCCGCAAGGCTCCGTCTTGGGGCCCTCTCTCTTCAATCTGTCAGTCAGAAAGCTCCCATCTGTACCCCAGCACTGCAAGGCTCGACAGTACGCGGACGACGTCTCCCTGTACAAAGCTGGCAAGAACGTCAAACGATTGTGCAAGGAGTTGACAGAAGACATTGTGAAAGTGAAAGAGTTCTTGGCGGCCAGAGGCTTACTGCTGAATCCTTCCAAGACGCAGTTTGTCGTGTTCAGGTCAAAGTGCAAGCCCCTTGACCCTAGCGTCGCTCTACAGCTGGGTGAGGTCACAATCAACCCTAGTGCACACATTCGATACCTTGGCATTATACTCGACGAACATCTCTCCTTTGGAGAGCACGTTAGGCAACTAGAGCGGAAAGTTGGAAGTAAGTTAGCCATGTTCAGAAAGGTCCGAGATCACATGACGGTAACTGCAAAGCGTGCATTTTACATTTGTTCCATTCAGACAGTACTCGAGTATGGGAGCAACTCATTTGCTCACTGCTTGTCAGTAACTCTGCATGACCGTCTAGTCCGTCTTAGTAATAGAGCTCTACGCATTGTGTTCAGTATGCCTCGTTTTTCTGACGTATCCCTTATTAATGCACGCCATCACATTCTCCCTTTGTCTGTGCGCTATCAGTTCAAACTCTATATCTTATTGTTTCGTGTCCTGAATCAGTTAACTACTACTCTCCTTACTGATTGCTTTTACCTTCGTTCTACTTCTACTCGTACCAATTCCTGCACTCGCTCCCAGGTATCTTCGTCTGTGACTCTACCCAAGGCTAAAACTCGTTTCGGTCTCTTTTCAGTTTCTTTCATCGGTTCCGACCGTTGGAATGCCCTCCCCGCTGCAGTCCGCTTATGCTCTTCCCTGCATCTATTCCGTAATTCAGTACTTTCATTTCTAGGGTACCCTGTAAGAAGGCCTTAAGCGGGATTCACAGAAGCTTTTTTGCGATGCGACACGCGATGCGACGCGATCTGCGATGGATGCGTGCGATGCGAACTCGCGAAATACCATTCACAGAAGAAGTCAGCGATGCGACAAAGTTTTGCTGATTTGGGTACGTCACCATGATATTTGCGCGGTTTGACACAACTTGTAAAAATTTATAGGCAACTCTTGCACCTTTGTACAACTTTGCTGTAGAAAAGGTCAAAATCGTACACCAAATCGCTTGTCGCATCGCATCGCATCGCAAAAGTTGAGCCAAGCTCAACTTCTGCGATGGCCTGCGATGGCCCAGTTGCGGCAGTTGCGTGGGGTGCGACATGGCTGCGATTTGGGGTTTTCCCGGTTTCGCGTCTGTCGCATCGGAGGTATATTATGCTCCGCAGGCCGCGAAAGAGAGCCCGTTACCTGGACCCCTACTCGCGCGGGTAGAGCGAAACTGAGCACCCTGGGATGCGAGCAGCTTTTTAGTACTCCCGGGTCCAAAATCTCACCACCAGGCCGGGATGATCAAAACGTCTGCCGGGTCTGCAGCCTACAAACGTGGATCTGCCGACACTGTGCTGTCGACGACATGTCCGGCAAGGCACCTCCTTGCGTGAAAGCAAGGAACGCTTTTTTTTTAGAAAGGAAGCTTCTTCTCCAAAATTTAAAATTTTTGAAAATTATTCCTTCTGAAAATATCATCGCGTTCTTGACCTCGAAGCTGACTGCTGAATGCGATTAGGAAAGAAGATTCCTGAAGATACACCAGACTGATTCTGGCAAGCCGTCTGTCGTCTAGATATGCAGTTGTTCGTCATGCATGGTCAGCAATCTTCCTCGTTCGTCCTTTCGTTTTCCTGACCACGATGATGACAAGCAGCTCTCATGCTCAGGTTAGTGCTGTACTTGTATGTCTGGGCACACAACACATCTGAGATTCACCCACTGACGTTATCGAACTGAAGAATGCAGCAAGGGTTCCTCGGATTCTCTTGATTTCGGAACAAATTTCCTTCACTTTCACCCTCTCAGTCTCTTCCCCATGCCCTCCATGCATGCACAATGCAGCTTGCATTTCAATTGCTGTTTTTTATACTTTGGCAGTGCCTCTGCTACACTTTCATATAGAGTGAGGTCCTGTAAATAGGATCGAACATTGTTGGTGGTGGTGGTGTGTGTGTGGGGGGGGGGGGGGGGGGTACGTTTGCAGCCAGGATGTAGGAATGACACTTCTGCACAGCAGGTGGCAATAGTCAAAACTGGTCACTCTACAAATCCCATACCTGCCAACCTTTGCAAACCTGAGATCCAATGACATACCTAGGCATGAAAATGTATACAAAAGAAGCTCGCGGTGAGGCATGGAACTAGTGCACTTTTGGGTGCCTATTACCGCCCTCGATATCGGGACGGTCCCGGCCAAATCGGGATGGTTGTCAGGTATGAAATCCCAACCGAGAAAACCATTTAATTAAAAGATAAACTCGGCCAGGACATAGCGACTTTCTGTTTGCCGGGGGGGGGGGGGGGGAGGGTCATCGTCCGCAATATTGGTAGAGTTACGATTACATTGTATATGTAGATACATGTGCATCAGGGATTCATAGCACCTGGGGAGACGACATGAGACCTAAGTACCCAAAACGTTGTGAGTTGTGACCCCGGATGGGGTAGTTCTACGTGATCTGTGTTTCTATAGACCTTATTCGATAACGTGATTTTTGGACTCTCCTCCAGGGATTTGTTGTAAGCTGGGGCACACGTACGTGAAACGAGTGGCAAGAAAGGCCCAGTTCGTACAAGGGAGTAGTAAAATACCGGTATTTTTTACTCCTATGTTCCCACGCCGAGTCCACTGTGCACTGAGTGCAGGTCTCTTGCCGCTCCCTGGTTCCCGGGACCCTGGTTCACGTGATTGTGACGTTTATTGAATAAGGTCTACATGTATATGCGGGCATGCATAAATCAACCCTTCCACAAGGACGGCTCAAACAGGCAGCCAAGGAGTGAAAATTTCGCTCCTGGGGCTAGGAGTGAAACGAAGGCCTCAATTTGCCAGATGAACCTTCTCCATCGAAACGAACGAAGGTGTCGAATAATTCTTTTACCAGTTCACAGTTGCCGTTCACGCGCACTCCCCGGGGTGGGGGGGGGGGGCTACTATGCACTTGTAGTGATACTTACCGTAAGCCAAGTGGAACACGACTAGTTGACTGCACAGACTACAGTACAGTATACATGCACATGTATACAGTGAAGATCAGTGCGTGCATACCTGCCATAATCGTATGTTGACCTTCGTTCGAATTGAAAATAGAGGGTCGTTTCGAAAAAGAAAAAAAGCTCGATGGAAGTATGATGCTGCTGACAATTCAAGACTCACTGAAGTCGCCTTTCTGGAATGGATCATGCACTCTAGGTTCATCCAATTGGATATGGACTCAAATCATTGTTACACCATTATTGTTTGGTTAGTTATTGTACATCCCATAGCATGTACAATCAACCTTGTGAATAATCTACCTCGGGTTTACAAAACAACTCGCAAATAACGACACAATCTTCAGATCTAGTGAACATTTGATTGCATACTTCCAACCTCACGAGTAACAACAATGCGAATAGCGACACTTTTCTCATTCACAATCGAGGGTCAGTATTCCCCAGGTTGACTGCAATTGCCAATCAAACAGGAGGGGCGAAAGTCGACCACGGCTGAAAAGGCATAAAGAAAAATTAATGTATATCATGAGCTAGATGGCTGAAGGAGGAAGTAGGTTTTCTGAGAAAGCAAGAAACAGAGGTGAATGAAGCACCAGGTCTGTCCATGCAGTGGATAGAATTATTGCATTGAAAGACAGGCTCTTTACATCAGCTTGCTACTATTATACCTACATTTGCTTTCTGCCTTTTTCATGCAGGATTCTGAAAGCTGGAGCAGCTCTGCTTACCTCGACCACTGAACTTACAACTAACTTCCAACCAAGTACAAGGCAATATTATGATGAATCAAGCGCGCTTGCCATCATGTCATCATTGCAAAGTACATCGACAACATAGATTTGGTGCCGACTATGTATGATGTAGAGTGTGCTCTATGTATCTATACTACTGATTGGCCTACATTGTACTTATGTGGGCTGAGAGTAATCGATTGTGCTCTATGGCAGTTTACTTGTATGTCATAGATGTTAACATTGCACACAGCTTCTGAAATGCTTTCTGTTGCACTGGCCTACTGCGGCCCACTGCAAATAGATTGTAGTGGCATGGGCCATGCCATAATTATAGTAGTATACCGGTACTACACCAACAATTTCACTGGTGCACTGTACTTACTGGTACGAGTAGATCTACATCATGCACAGCCTTGTCACTGCTTTTCTCATTTTTTTTATTAATTTACTGTACTGTACACATTTTGGCACAGCTCTTCCACAAAGAGTTACTAGTATTTTCTTCTGCATACCTACTGTATACAGTGACCTGACTGGTAACATCTATGGCTGTGAAATCACAAATTTCTGGGTTGACAGCCTCGAACCTATACGATTTGTTTCTAAGAACGTGCTATAAGAAATTTTCTATTGAAGTATTCTACTGTAGCTCGCAGGACATGGAGTGCAATTACGTAAAGTTTGGAACACCACTCTTCTGTGATTTGGAATGAAATTCAGTGTGTGAGGTAAACCCATGCATGGCATACACTGCTATAGTATGACTCGGGGTAAAGTGTTCCAACGCATACTCATTATAGTGAATAGTTGTGTGACCAACGTTGTTGCTGCTGGATAAATAGTACATATTCTGAGATAACTGAAGCTACACAGCCATCTAATGTTCAGACATGCATCGAAGGGGCCGTAACGAGATCTGCAAGGCATGATTCTATACCTGTATTTGATGCTCTCTAGCCTAGGACATTCACCTGCCTCATTTTCTCTGTGCTGCATTGATGAGTCCATTAGTAACTAAAGGACGAAACAGCATGCTGTCTGCAGATTGGTAATTGTGTAAAGACAGACGTGTATGTAGTGGTAAAGCTCAGATACATGTGCAACATAACAATCCCGGTGTTTGACAACAGCACAAACCTACACCGCAATTCTTAATTTTGGGCTGTGGTGTTCTTAGTATTCCAGGTTGGATGTTCTGTAGGCTTCCACGTTCTTGGGCGCACGACTTTACTGTGCCGAAGAATATTTTCAGCCAATGAACCCAGAGCTTGGTGGCAGATGAGTGCCATGGAACAGCCTTTTGCATGTGGCTTTCACTACATGCACATGTATAACGTTCAATTGATGCGGAAAAATCAGACGAGGACTTTCGCAGTTATGAGCAAGGTCCCCACGAATGGTCATGTCACTTCACAGAATACATGAACTGATAGAGTAGACCTCGGTCCCCTCAGAGAACGCTTGGGGAAGTCGGGTTCAACCATAGATTTATACTTAACAGAGAACGCTTGGGGAAGTAGGTTTCAACCATAGATTTATACTTAATATTCTTTACAACAAGGATCGATGTGTTCCTTCGGATGCCCTTTATCGACTTTCACACACTTCTCCTCTCTCCTTTCGTCATAAGCACCATCTCTGTACACTGGTTCATAAAATATTTCTTCATAAAACCCCTTCACACATAATGAAGTACAATTGGTTTTCGACAAGCTCAACCCGTAACGCGCTTATCCTGCCTCTTGTTAAGTCAGCCCGGTATCTAAAGCCCCCCTTGTTTTCCGGTTCTTCTCATTGGTTAACTGGGGACATATCCAAAACCATACTAAGTACTTGAGCTGCTCATGAGCCCCACAATTATCAGGCCCGCCGGTCTGGTTGGTCAGGTTATCACCAGACCAACTTGTTGGCCACCAACAAACGTTTCCTACCGTGGAGGACGTGTGTACCCGCCATGAAACTACCGGACCAATCAAAAACTGCTTCCGGCGGTACTGATTATAGTACAGGTTTAAGTTAAAAAGCGGCTCCATTTTGTCATACATTAAACCAACTCTGTCATTGCTATGCTACTCAAAAAGAGAAGTGATGTTTATTCACAAATGAATCACAATGCTATCAGAGAAATTCGATATTCTCCAATTTTAGGGGCACTGCAATACTATCCAAAATTAATGCTGCATGGTCATTGTTATGAAGCAGTCACCTCAGTACAGCAATTAAACAGGCTGATTATGTGAACGAGATTCACGGCAAATCTTCTTCCATCAGTGCTGTTCAGTCTTGAGTGGTCCACTGAGACAGGAAAACAACCTGTTCGGTCCTTCCATACGAGAAACAGAAATTGAACATGTTCCAGGGTGGAGGTGGCGAGTATCGGCAATGTAATGCACCTTTAGGCCAACATGACCATCATTCCGACATGGATTCTCAAACACCTTCGCTCGTGAGAGTGCCTCAGAGTGGTATTCATCAACAGATGGCAATCCTGTAAAACACATGAAAAGACATAGCAGCAACAGAAAGAAACCTAATGTTATAGAAACGAATTCGAAAAACAAAGTCTACTATTATTCTAATACAGTGAACCAAGGTACAACCACACTCCAGGAGGCAAGCAAAAGAGCATATAATCCGAAGGTTGCGATGCCTGTATGTATTGTATTTATGTATTTACGGATTCTCCACAGGCTAAATCGAGGGAGTCTTTGTCATGCCACACTGGATACAACATGCTACCAGAATCACTTTCCCCAGAATTGATGATCTTTTCTTAGGGTGTTATATAAGACACATCTGTAGCCACTTCATCTTGCTCACGAAATCATACACCACCACACAAACGGGTCCTTCGGCTATTATACTTTGGGTGGTACATGGTGATGTATGATATTGATAATCTATTGATACCATATTCAAGTCTGACTCTCACCGTGAGATCCTGGCAACAATATTACCTGGTACACGACATATTCAGACACTGACATAAGCATCTTTTTGGAACAACAGGTGTGCCTATCTGCTAGTGTAATGTGACACACATGCAGAACACATGCAGAATCAGTCATAGCTAATTTTACCCCCTCACTGTTGTATGCGCAGACTCCACTTCGCGGTGTCAAGTACTCTTCTTTCGGTGGGCTACTCCACTAAGGCGCTTGTCTAAAAGGACTCACATTCATCCTGCAAACCAACACGACTTGCATAGTTTTCACTGTCAGCCAAAGTGCGTGCATTGCACACATTGAGATTCACTCCCTCCGTACAGGCCAGTACAGAGCTGCCCACCAATTGAGTCTGTTTTGCGTACTCAGACTTCTGATTTTCCGTATCTTGCAGTGTTTTGCGTACTGCCGTGTACATTGCATGCATACTTGCACTGTAATGTTTTTTGACACGCACATGCATGTCGGTGGCTGCATTTGGTAGTGTAAAACATGTGTGACTTGCACTCACGACATTATTATTTTTGTGCTACATGTACATGTTGTTGTGGTACGGCATGCACTCGCTTTGGTACAAGACTATTCATCACTCAGCTTACACTTGCAATGCTTCTACACAGCTGATTGATCCTCTCCGATTTTCTATACCATTTGCTCAATTTCTGTAGTGCGCACAAGGAGTGATTTTCCGTACAAATACAGAAAATATGGAGGGCTGGTACTTGGTAGCACTGCTAGTATGGTAGTACCAGGTTAAGCTGGCTGGAAGATCAAATACTTCTTTGGTTCTTTCAGTCATTTTCACGACATATGTTTTCTTTATCATGATCCCCGGGGTGTGACATTCTTATGAATGCAGAAACTCAGTCTTTCTAACCGAGTCTCACGTGCAATGTGAATTTGTTCTTCTTTTCTTCACAATGCCATGTATCGATTCATCGCTTCTTCCCACCCGAGATCCTATGCAACAGCGATTTAAAGATTGGCTTTATCAAATAGTTAATTCAGAGAGAGAGAGGATCAGTTGTGGATGCTGTGACAGCATAGAGTGTAGATTGGTGTAAACATCATTGCCCAGCAGAACCGTATTCACAGGGATCTGCGTTTAGCATATGGAAGCTATTTTTTTAGAATTTGTACACGTCCAATAAGCCTGAAGAGAAGAACACCTAACTTAGACTGTCCTAACGTTATCGAACGCACTGCCAAAGTAAAAACAACATTTGAAATGCAAACTCGATTGTGCATGCATGGAGGGCATGGGGAAGAGACTGAGAGGGTGAAAGTGAAGGAAATTTGTTCCGAAATCAAGAGAATCCGAGGAACCCTTGCTGCATTCTTCAGTTCGATAACGTCAGTGGGTGAATCTCAGATGTGTTGTGTGCCCAGACATACAAGTACAGCACTAACCTGAGCATGAGAGCTGCTTGTCATCATCGTGGTCAGGAAAACGAAAGGACGAACGAGGAAGATTGCTGACCATGCATGACGAACAACTGCATATCTAGACGACAGACGGCTTGCCAGAATCAGTCTGGTGTATCTTCAGGAATCTTCTTTCCTAATCGCATTCAGCAGTCAGCTTCGAGGTCAAGAACGCGATGATATTTTCAGAAGGAATAATTTTCAAAAATTTTAAATTTTGGAGAAGAAGCTTCCTTTCTAAAAAAAAGCGTTCCTTGCTTTCACGCAAGGAGGTGCCTTGCCGGACATGTCGTCGACAGCACAGTGTCGGCAGATCCACGTTTGTAGGCTGCAGACCCGGCAGACGTTTTGATCATCCCGGCCTGGTGGTGAGATTTTGGACCCGGGAGTACTAAAAAGCTGCTCGCATCCCAGGGTGCTCAGTTTCGCTCTACCCGCGCGAGTAGGGGTCCAGGTAACGGGCTCTCTTTCGCGGCCTGCGGAGCATAATATACCTCCGCATCGCGTGTCGCATCGCAAAAAAGCTTCTGTGAATCCCGCTTTAGGCCTGTGGGGATTGCCCTATCAAAAAATTTGATAATAATAATAATAATAATATTCACCGCATATTTACCGCAAATTCACCGCAAATTATGCCATATTATGCCGCGTTTTTCCCCGCGTTTTTTGCGTTTTTTTCCGCAATTTTCCCCGGGGACAGCATAATGCATGTTCTTCTGCAGGGAAACATGTGAGTAGTGGTGGTTTTTTACATTCTGTGCATGTTGCTGTTGCAGAATTTCATGACTGTCATAAATTTGTCTTGCCTTTCAGATATTTCAGATTTCCCCACCCTCGATCAGATTTATTTGAGAGATGTAGCCATGCGCCAGGTGCGTGTCGCAGATGTTTTTGTTGATTCTGTGTTTATAATGGTTTATAATCATGGGTTATCGTGATAAGGTCATCCAGCATCATATTGCACTGAAATCGTAATCCTGTTGATGTCGATACAACTTTTGGAAGTAGTTCAATGACTTCAAACTGTTAGTCCATGATTTTCTGAAACAACACAGCAAAGGAGGAACAATAAACATGTATTAAAATGTAAACAAAAACATTGCTGAGTCCGACACCTCGTTCCAACAACTACACTGATCCTGAGGATAAAAGGGTCAAGGCTATGGTTGGAGGTACTGATACTGAGAGATAAACAAGGCACTCCATGATAATAAAATCTTACACATCTTTTGGTGAGTATGAATGATATCCAGTCGAACCTCTTTAGGACGAACACCAAGGGACCGATGGTATTTATTCTGTGAGTTTGTCTTAACCTATTT